ATCAGAATTTTGCAGGGATAAGATGGTATATCGTTGTAATTTTGATTTGCATCTCCCTAAGGGCTAATGCACTTGACTGCTAACCAGAAGGCTGGCTGTTCAAACCCACCAGCCACTCCTCAGAAGGAAGGTTGGGCAATCTACTTCCATAATGATACTGCCTCGGCAACCCAAGGAGGGGTTGCTATGAGTCGGAGCCAACTCAACGGCACATAACAACAACAATGGCTAATGAAGGAGCTTTGGAAGTGCAATGGTTTACGTATTCAGTTACTGACCAAAACGTCAGCAGTTCGAACCCACTAGCTGTTCTGTGGTAGAAAGATGAGGCAGTCTACATTTGTAAAGATCCACAACCTTGGAAACTCTATGGTGCAGTTCTATCATACATGGCTGCTATGAATTGGAATTGACTCAATGTCTCTAAGTTCGGTTTTTGGTAATGGGTAATGATCATGGGCATCTTTTCATGTGTTTTTTAGTTTCCTGGATATCCTCTTTGGTGAAGTGTCTATTCATGTAAACCCATTTTTAAAATAGATTGTTTATCTTTTTGTTGTTGAGTGTTGAAGTTTTCTATATATTTTAGAGATTAGACCCTTGTCAGATACGTCATTGTCATCCCAGTCTATACATTCTCTTTTTACTCTTCTGGTAAAATCTTTTGATGAGCACAAGTATTTAATTTTTTAGGAGGTCCCAGTTATCTAATTTATTTTCAGTTGCTTATGGATTTTCAATTATATAAATATCATCCACTCTTACCTAACAAGGATATTGCTCCAGAAATTCTCTCCTTTCTCTCTTGCACTGATTTCTCTCTCTCTACTGGATCATTCTTAGCATACATGTAGGCAGTATCAATGACATGGAAGCAGTAGTCAAGAAATTAGCAGTAATATTTCTGATACGAAAAAAATTCTTGACCAATACACTCCCTCACATTCTCTTTACGCTCTTACAGCAAAACTCCTCAAAAGATGAGTCTATGCTTGCTGTGTCCAGGTCTTCTCCTTCTATTCTTTCTTGAACCCATCTTTGCCTGTATCTTTCCACTGTAACTGCTCCTTCCAGGGTCACTAAGGAACTCCATGTTATTAAATTCAATGATCTGTTTCCAGTCCTCATCTTCTTGCCCATTTGACACAACTGAACACTCCTTTTAACTTGGAGCTCTGGTAGCATAGTGGCTAAGACACTTGCCTGCTAACCA